TTTCAAGTTTCAGTTGGTCTTACACGTGTTACATTCAAATTTAAACTTCATTGGAACAAAGAAATTGAAGCATCTTTTGAAGCCTTAAAGTCAACATTTATTTTTGTACCGATCTTGTACCGCATCGACTTTTTTAAGGTATTTTTTATGAAAAAAGATGCATCAAATTTTACTATGGATGTTATTTTGTTACAAATAGAAGAAGCTGATAAGTTCTATCCAATAGCTTTTGATTTGAGAAAATTCTTAGCAACCAAATTTTAATTTGCAGATCCACAATAAAGAACTTCTTGCAATTATAGATTCTTTTTAAGAATTACATTATTATCTAGAAGGCGCTTCCAATTTAGTCATCATATATACGGATCACAAGAACCTTGAGTATTTCATGTTAACAAGTATTTTGAATCATCACTAGGCTTGTTGGAATATGTCTTTGTCAAGATTCGAGTTTGATATCACTTATTGGCCAAGAAAATAAGAAGATTTGTTTGATTTCCTTTCTAGACATTTTTATCTTGTACTAAAAGAAGGAAATGTAGATTTTGATTAATAAACAATAATTTTATTGAAGCCAAAACAATTTCATCTTTGAGTAGTGAAATCAACATTGATTATTGATTCAACTTTTTTCAAGCAAATTCAATCAAGTATGTCATCTAATTCTCTTATTTATAGTATAAAGAATACTTCTTTTAAGTCTTGTCATACTTCCAAGTTTGAGTTTAAGAACAACCTATTATATTTTGAAGGATGCTTATATGTTCCAGAAGGAAAAGCACATTTATGTGTTCTTTAAGTATGTCACAACTTTCTAGCTATAGGACATTTTTAATACAACATGACTTTAAATCTAATATCTAAAGATTTTTGGTGGCTGCAAATGAAGAAGGTTATAAAAATACTTTGTTGAATCATGTGACATTTATTTAAGGTCAAAAACTCCTCATCATTAATCTTATAGACCTCTTCAGCCATTACCTATTTCAAAACAACATTGATCTTTTGTTTCTATAGATTTTAATATAAATCTTTTAATCTTAGCTTTGTGTGATTTTATATTTGTGATAGTAGATCATTTTACCAAAATGGCACTTTTTATACTAAGCACAAAGTCTATCATAGGTGAAGAAACTGCCAAGCTTTTCTTTGAAAATATCTATCAATATCATAGATTGTTGAAAGATATTATATCAAATATACAGACTTAATTTATATCAAGATTTTAAAAAACCTTTTTTAAGATTCTAAAAGTGGACATAAAGCTTTTTTTGACCTTTCATCCTCAAATTGATGGATAGACAAAATGCATAAACCAAGTTTTAGAATAATACTTAAAATATACCATCAATTATCAATAAGATAATTGAACAACCTTCTTGCCATTGGTAGAATTTGCTCATAATAATACAATGCATTCTTCTATGTAAAAAACACCTTTCTTTGCAAATTATGGTTATCATCCACAATTCGATACTTTTGACTTTTCAAAAGTTGATAATCCTACAGTGAAAGATTTGGCAAATTGTTTGTCAGAGCCACATGCAACAATGAAGGTGTAATTAAAGGAAGCTCAAGAACGACAAAAGATCAATATAGATGCCTCTTAAAAAGAACAACCACAATTCAAAATAGGTGACAAGTTATGGTTACTTTGTCATAATATGAAGACTACTTATCCTTATAATAAATTAGACTATCACAAACTTAGATCATTTTCTATTTGTGAAAAAATAAATCTAATTGCTTATCAATTACATCTATTGGAGTCAATGAAGATCCATCTTCTATTCCACATATCTCTTTTTGAATTATACAAGGTTGTGAACATATCAAAAAAAAAGACAAGTTCTACATTCTTTTATAGAAGCGGATAATAATGAAGAGTTTGAAGTGGAAGAAGTTCTAGACTCAAGGCGGCACCAAAATAAGTTGGAATATCTTGTCCATTTGTATGGATATGATATTAGTGAATGTACATGGAAGTCAACAAAAAATCTTGCAAATGCAGCAAAGAAGGTGGAGGCTTTTCATCAACAACATCCATCAAAAGCAAGATAAAGGATACAAATCTTTGATATAAAAGAAATATAATTTAAAAAAGATTGCATTCTATGTTCTATCTTTATTTGTAGTTTTTATATAATTATGGCATTAAAAAGATGGCCAATGAATTCAACTCAATAGCTATCATTTGTTTATTTATTGGACAAGACATTACAATTATCACAACCTTCAAAATGACGTAATATGAATAAAGACCTTCAAGAATAACATATTCTTCTTTGAATAGATGGCGAAATACAATGCATTTGGTATCATAACTTAAGAAAAGACTTTCAATATTTAGTGATTTTATTGGAAGTAGGCTTAACTCTTGATGGTGTTACAAATGTTTTGTTTAAATGAATTACGGAGGTTTCAAGAATGATCAAATCATAAAGTGGTCTTCCTACCTTGAAATAGAACATTACCGATGATTGAGAGGACCTATCAACTACCTTCAAAGGAAACAAAGATTAGAGTACATGGCAAATATAATTTGCCGCATCTTGAACTTCTTCAAAGTGTGATTATTGCTCCTCGTGGAACTCATTCCTAAAAGGGGGGGATAATGTCACAAATATATATATATATATATATATATATAATAATTGTTACTTTGATAATATGAATATATAGAAATATGTAAAAGTAGATTAATTTCATTTAAATTCAATAATTCAAGAGAATGGACAAGGTTGGAAAAAGAAACAACAAACAAGAGATGTAAAGAACTAAGAACATAGAGAATGAGTGCTAGAAATGTGAAAGAGGTTTGGATGGGAGATAGGGTTGAGAATGGGATTATAAAAGTTGGGAATGGGAATAGAGGATAAGGGGTGTAATGATGGTTTAGATAGGTGGATTGATTTAGTAAAAACCTAGGTCACTTTAACATTCTCTTATATATATATATATATATATATATTATTGAAATAAAAAAAATTAAAAAAATATCTTGAATGGGTAATGGATTTTAGTGGAGACATCAAAAAATTGTGGTGACATAAGCATCACCTTTTTCTTTCTTCTCTCTCTCTCTCTCTCTCTCTCTATATATATATATATATTTACATACATACATACATGTGTGTGCATGACCTAAGAACTGTGAAAATTACTGGCACTGGCCTTGTGCTCACAAGTTCCATGTGTGAAATTGAGGGCGGATTACCGCACACGATTGTTTCCAATCTGTTGCTAGATTCAGCCACTTTAAAAGAGTGCTAAGGCGACACACTATGATGCCTCAATGAGTAGCTCTCGAGAGTTGTCCAGCAAGTGTGCTCCGAGTGTGCAGAGCTGATGTTTTTCGGCTCTTTCGGCTCTTTCGGCAGCAGATAAGGCCATAACTTTTAATCCCTCTGGTGAGCTTAGCTTGCGCCAAGCATGCCAACTATCAAACAATAGTGAAGGCCGTCTCCTCCAACCACCGTCCCCTGCGCTTTTCTTCCGATTGTGGCAAAAGGAGGGGTCATCCTCAAACCTTAGCTTTAGCAACACGACAATTAATTGTTTTTTGCCACTAAAGTTGTGCTTCGCCGAGGCGTTCATGCTGTTGCTGTGGGTCCACGAACCTGCCCACCCGGTGTTGTAATTAGTAGTATAGTTTTATTAAATTAGTTGTCAAGCGCTGTACGATGCTTGTGGTGGTATGGATGATGCTGTAGAAGACACCGAGGAATGGTTCTGGTAGTTTTGAAATATTTCATTCATGATCATGTTATCAGGCTGCTGACTCGCATTAAAATAAAATCAATTAAGGAGATTATTGTATAATTAAAAATGAGATCCGTCTTGTTCTCTCTCACCGCCAACAGTGGATGACAATGCCACGACTACTGCACGATGTAAAGTCAATTTTGTGAGCTGCTCGTAATTTGCAATGGTGTGCTTATACCGCGTTGAGCATCGTCGAGCAGCCTCGCCTTGGCAAGAGAATCCTCGTGAGCCTTCGAAATTACAGTCTCCTATAAAACAGTGCGGAGATACTGTGTTATTCCACGTGCCATTCAGTTCCCTGCTGCAGTAGCTCTTAAGCCACTGGGATTTACCCATTTTCCGACTGTTCACAGAAAGCATGTCTTTTTATGGCACTAGACAGGATTAGAGTAGTTTATGGAACCCCCTTCTGAACATTCCTTTAGCAGGTCGATTCGTTTTCAAATCGAGCTTTCGTTTGAAAATAGTAGTGCCTATCAGACGATCACGTGTTACAGAGGAGACATCGCTATTCTTTGCCAACTATATTGACAGCTTCGAACCACATGTGCACACGGAATCGGGACAGCATTGTAACCATGAACCCAGACTCGGAAATCGTCGTTTCTGTCACAAGCCTGTGTGATAGCGAGTTTCGAAATCATTATCATAATGCTGTGTTCTTAGTGGCTGAGACCAGACTGGTAGCAAGCAACTTGCAGTCTGTCGATCTTTTTTTTAAAAAAAATCAATGAACGAAAATAAAAATGGAAATGAAGTCGACTGCGTTGAAAATGCCAGCAGCCGCCGTGAGCACAGGACATCATCGACGCACCTATGGCTCTGCAAGCAATGGCCCCTTATCCTCTCGAGACCGCAGAAGAAAATCAACGGACACTTTCTTATGCTTCAGGTCCAAAATGCTGCGACAATTAGCTCAGCGGATACGGACCAAAACTCCTGCGTCCTCGCTGATTCGATCAGACATTGTCTATTCCTGTGGTTTGAGTGGCGGGTGGAGTTTGCACGAGTGTGCGAAACTCGAAACGGGATGCCGCTAAGGCTTTAGTACATTCGTGTTCGACAGGGGGATGAGCCACTCTGCTATTGAACAGGAAGCAATAAAAACGTCCTGAAGTAGTGGACAAAGATACACTGCTCTTGTTCCTCCAACTCTCCAGTCCCGCGTCGCCGAAATAACCCAGGTAATGGGCAACGTGGAAGCTCGATGCTGTGGTTCTGAGATAAAACTTGAAGTGATCAGAGTGAAAAGTGTGCCTAAAGATTGATTGCCAGGTTGTGCCGGCTCTAGAGGTTAAATGTTCCAACTGGAGTTGGGGAGAGATGAGGACAGTAAAGGATGCCCCTGGAGGGGCTCGAAAATTCTGGGCAAGCCTGACTACGCTTCGGTAAAGTCGCATATCCTAGTATAACGTTTTGACATGTCATTCTTTCGCCAGGGAGGGGGAACTTGCAAGTTAAAAGCCATCGAAATCTTACGCATTCCATCATGAATGTGCAGCTCACTGCTTTGTCTCGATTACTGCCTTGTATTTTACCACGCATGAATGTTTGAAATGTGTGTTGTTCGTTTATTCGGCAATACATTCAATGTTGAATCGGTAATTTAGCTCCGCCGATTTCACAGTAACTTCCGGTTCTCCCCGTTCCAGCTGCAGAAAAGTGCGATAATCAACTGGATCGCCGACGTCGATCGCAAGGTTCACCAAACCCATCACCACGCGTACATTCTCTACTCATGGCTTTATCCGTCTGGATCGAATCAGCAGGCTAGTTACGCTTCATTATATGAGGTCTACAGGATAGTGGAATCATCAAGCGCCAGGCCTTCATGCTATTCTTGCACAAGGTTCTCCGTACACAACGTCTTTCATTTACTGGAATTCATCGACGCCCGGATCTTTTCGCTGACTCCGACTCCGCTTGCTTCACCAACCTTCGATAGCCTATTAGATTTTTATCGCGCTAAACTCTAAGGTGCTCGTTTCAGAGACCAAGGGAAAGTGAGCGATGAGTATTGAGAGACAGACTGATGGTCATCGATTACTCAATCCTGTAGCCTGCAAGTTCTTTCTCTGAATCCTAGGCTGCTCCAGGAAGTTGTCGAACACGAGTTGAATAGAAGAAGCTCCAAAAGTCTGAATTTTGGATGCACGTATCAGTTCGATATTGGAAATCTCGACGGTCGCATTGACGGGGCGACGGACATATGTGGTGGAGGCATTGTTTCTAGGATCCTTCGGGTATGATGGATCCGCCTCTAGTTGAAACGTGGAAGAGAGCAGTGGTAGAAGAGCAACACAAGTGTGCTGCACACTGTGGAACGGATGGGAAGCAGAGATGGTGAAGTTAGTGAGAACACCAGGACGGAGTTTCGACTAGGCGTTCTCTCGCGATGGGATTTTATTCTGGTTCGGTGTTGCTGCTGGTTTGGACGTCATGGGCATTGCTCGCAAACTCTATGACGATGGAGGAATTTTCCATCAAGGAGAAGAATGTGCGTCGTCTTGGCGACGATGCTCTTCACCTTGCAATGGATACCGAAGAATGTGGTAAGGTGCTCCACGTCTATAAACCTTCCTGGCATTTGTATAGAGCTAGTTGCCAATCGTTCTATGAACTTTAGAAGTCATATTGAGGGGAGAGAGCGAGAGGGATCACTGAAAAGAGCTAATCCCCCCGTGTGTTCTTTCAGGACTATCGCTGTGTGTGGATAATTGCGCCCGTCATGCCTGCTCCGCATCTCACAACGACAATTTCTTGTGCGCCAATACGTTTAGATCTGTGGCGGACTGCGAAGCGCTTAACCCTAATAAAACATGCCTGCAGTTGCAGCTCAACTTTGGCAAGAACGGCTTTGTGCGGTAAGTGGCCTGAATGAGGTTGTCGGTGTCGGAGACAATTTTACATTTTTTTTCTGGATGTGAAGCATCACGTTTTTCGACCCCTATGTGACCGATTTGAGATAATTGAATTTGCACCTAATGTAGGATACCGCCTCCATTTCGCAACTATTCAAACGCAAATTTGAGGCCAGAAATCAAACGAGCTATATGCTCTCATTCAAATCTTCAGTTTACGGCGAGCAGCAAAATAAACCTCACATTCTGGAACTACTTTGGTTCCGCAGAAGGTGTTTGGCGAAGCTATCCTGGACGTGTAATCTCTCACGACGATTTTTTCTGCAGAAATTCAAAATATTTATTCTTTATCTTCGTTTATTTTCCTTTCCCTCGTTTATGAATTCGAAGTCACACGAGGAGTGTGTTTGGTTTATGGAAAGAAAATTAAGATGTGTGGTTGCACCCGTGATTGGCAAACAACAGGTAGCCGAGCCTGACAAAGGCTGCATAAGCTATGATCCTCGTAAACGCCCTTGGTATATATTGGCAACGGCGGTGGTGAAGGACCTGATATTGCTTCTTGACATAGGGCAGGAAAGGGACACAACCCTCAAATTAGCGGTAAACGTCGTTTCGGAGCTTTTTGACACATTGAGAATCAACGATACCGTCAACATGGTTACATTTGATTCAGTGGCTGCAACTCCAATCAGTCCAAATTCGGTAAGCTTCTCTACCTTGAACTTACATCGAGTCGATAGTCATCTCTGCATCAAATCTCCATTCAGTCATAAAACGACAGTTGTGCAGCTAGTTGTATGAGTTTGTTTGACGATCCCATGCCTTCTTGTGACGCGTCGCCCCCGATTGGAACTATCTGCAGATACTTGTAAATGAGAAGAACAGTAAAGTGTTACGCACAGTTTTTAAGGTCTCCAAATTGAGTAAAAGCGGCAACCCGGCCGTCTCGAACCTCACTCTTGGATTTGACAAAGCAAGGGCAATGTTTAACCCAAAAAGCAAATTGAAGGTGATTTCATAACTTTTTGCCTCACAATAATGTGAGTTTGCTATCTTCGCTGTTCAGAAATGCTTTTTGACATAATTCATCGAGGCTTTCCTTGTGATGTTGCCAAGTACCTCTTGTCCTCAAAACCTGCCGTGTCTATGGTTCATAGATTATACTCGTCTTCACCGACGGCCACTTCTCCAAAAACCCCGTTTTCATCAACGAACCATCGCTCCAGCGTGCAGTTGCGAATCTGAATGCGGACAACGTGATCGTATTTTTTTTCAGTATTGGTCCGGGCGAATCTGACAATCCCCCTGACACTCTTCAAGAGCTTCGCACCCTGTCCTGCCAGATGAATAGCTCAGTAGTTTACGTTAGCGAAGCAGATGCGTTTTGGAATCCACTTTGGGCCATTCGGCCATACTTCGATTACCAAGCTAAAATGCGGTTCAGAGAGAATGTCACATTCTGGACCGACACGTACATTGACTTCGATGGCTTGGGAGAGGTCTCCACTGTTACGTATCCCGGTATACATAGTCGTCTCCTTGCCTCTTAACCCTGAATTTTAAGCCTTAATTAGCAACAATTGCATTGCACAAGTGGTAATGAAACTGACCAACATGGCTATCTTTCGTCTGCAGTATTCCAGGATGGCACCTTGTATGGAGTTGCAGGCATTGATGTATTTGTGAATGCAAGCGACAATGCTATCATCCAGCAGAAGGCTGTTAATCCGAATGTACCTGCCATCGAGCTGGAATGTGAAGAAGAAAACGTGAGTACTACATCACAGCTCTAGCTCAAGTGTTCGTCGGGGAAATTTGAATACTTGTTTTTCAAATATTCGTGTACAAGATGGTTGCGCTAAATTCGGCGATTGTTTTTTTTTCTGCAGGTCAATCTTAGCCATTGCACTAAAGCTGTTGACCCAGGGCTACAGCCGCTCTGTGAACAAGACGTCTATCTCAACGAGGACCCTAAGGAAGTCTATAAGAAGCTGCTGTGTTGTGATACTTGTGCTGTTCAAGATGTCCAGAAGCGAAACCTTCTGCCAGTGTATCTTGCTGTTGCTGGGACCAGTGTTTTTGCCATCATTCTGATGCTAATTATTGCAGTCCTGGGTTCTAAATATAGAATAGCTCGGAAGTTCGTTCGAGAGATTCAAGAAGGTCAGTCTATGCCTTTATTCTGTCCCATTAGCCCACGTCCTTCAACAAGGATGCTTGAATCGTCGAAGGAAGCAGTTATTCAGGTTGGATGATGTTTTCCTTTTTGCAGATTTTGCGAGAGCATCTATATCCACTAACTTATATACGTACAAAGAGTTGAAGAAAGCGACTCGAAATTTTCACAATGACAATAAGCTGGGCGAGGGTGGATTTGGGGAAGTTTTTCTGGTGAGCACTGCTTTTCTTAGATACATGCATACGATGCTAGCGGTGCCGCAATGTCTTGTGTGCATGCTCGATGAAATCCAGTATTTTATATGTTGACTTGTTGGTGTCTATACCGACCAGGGGAAAATTAGGGATGGCTCACAAGTTGCTGTGAAGAAGCTTGCTGATGACTCCAAGCAAGGGAAGCCCCAATTTTTGGCGGAAGTGATGATCATCAGCAAGGTGCAGCATAGGAACCTTGTGAAGCTGCGGGGTTGCTGCGTTGAAGGTCGTCACAGACTGCTTGTATACGAATATTTGGAGAACAAGAGTCTTCGTGAAACATTATTAGGTATTGCTTTTACACCGAAGCTCTGATGTGAAATCTCCGACTAAGCGGAGATTGACATAGAAAAGTAATGCTTGGAACCCAAACTGAACATGAGCAACATTGCGTCTTCAACTCACGTCGGTAGCTACTTAATTAGGTCTTGGTTTGCACTGCAGGAACCACTGAGGAGCTGATTCATATTGATTGGCCAACTCGCTTCAACATTGCAACTGGAACTGCTCGAGGTCTCGCGTATTTGCACGACGAAATCAATCCTCGCATCATACATAGGGACATAAAAGCTAGCAACATCCTTCTCGACGGCCACCTCGAAGCCAAGATTTCTGACTTCGGACTTGCCAAGCTCTGTCCAGATGAACGAACGCATTTGACAACGGCCATAGCAGGCACTCTGTAAGTTTCTTTGGCGATTAAGGATTTCATTTGTTGCAGACACCCAACCCCTGGGCAACGCTTAGAAGACAGGAACTAACCTTTGTCACTTGTTGAAATGGGTTTGAAGAGGTTACATGGCACCAGAGATTACACGCGGACAGCTCTCTGAGAAGGTGGATGTATTTAGCTATGGCGTTCTGCTGATGGAGATTGTGACCGGCAAAGTGACAATGAGTGTAACTAATTTTGGAACTCCGTTCTGTCTTGTCGATGAGGTAAGTCTATGATCGTGTGTGACTGAGTTCGGAAAGTCTACCTTGTCATACCGACATCATGTCTTGAAGTTGTGTTGAATTGCGACACTGATAAGTTACCGTCGCATCTGGATGCAGGTTAGGGACCTCTACAGAAAATCTCAGGAGACGGGAAGGGACGACTATCTGCTCCGTCTTGTGGATCGAAACCTTCACGGTGTCTTCAACAAAGAAGAAGTCATAAGGGTGTTGAAGATAGCTCTCATATGCGCGAATGATAATCCAGCTTCCCGACCTTCCATCACGCAAGTCATCTCTATGCTTTTAGGTACCCAGACCATTCCGGAGCACCACTTAAAGTACATCCTTCAGAGTTTCCAGTCGTCTCAATCGTTTCCGTCTTTAACCAATCCTTGTATGTGGCATGACTACAATTTCTCCAGTATTTCGCCTGCTAATGCTGGACAAACTTTATCTCATACATCGGGCGCCTCGAGCGTCAGTAGAGCAGAGAAGCGTACCATTACGCCTGCTGATCTAGAAGGAAGATAGGCTAGGGTTTGCTGCAAGGAATTTTCGTACATTGCCACAGGATCCAATAGTTCTGTAGAATTTTTTTCCAAAAAAACATGTACGTTTAGCTCAGAAGTGATGCTCTGCTGCGTTGCAAGAACAGGTCGCGAAGCTCCGGAGTACTGAACTACTGCCAGAGGTTCCACAATCAATTAAGTAGACGTCTCAAGCAAGACAGATCCAATGTCGTGCCTTGACACAGATCCAATGTACCATGTCCATGATTGCTGAGCTGCCAACGTTATTAAACTTGTTGCTAGTGCTGTGAAATTGTAACCACTCTTCCATTATGTTCGGAATTATTGCTTTATTAAAACATAGATTCGTGGTCAATTATGCGTTGATGTCGCCTCTCAGTACAGCTCGTGTCCTTGCGCAGAGCATCCCAATGATTTTTCGTCATAAGTCGTCATTTCTGTACTGAAGTATGTACAGCGGACAGCTTCACATTTGCAGCTCCACGACGTGGGTGTCTCTGTTGGAAAACTAAGGTGAAATCCAGGAAAAGAAAGAAAAAAAAAAGAAAAAAAAGAGAAAAAAGAATAAAAGAAAAAAAAGGCGCTGAGATTTCCACTATAATGAACTTAACTCCCTATCCTCCCGAGGGAGTGCTTTAAGCACTGCTTTCCTCGCAACCTGGCCCATTCTATCATTGGATGCGCACACATGCTGTTCCTGCGTTTAGCAGCTAATGTCATACGTTTAGTCCATTATTTTCTCTCTAAACGCTATTAATGGCCTCGGGATGGGCTCTAGAGTTGTTCAGTTATCTAAAAATTCTCTCACCAGAATCCGTCAAAGCAGCAGTACAACCGTATAATAATTGAGAGGCTGAGGCCGGTACAAGAAGCAGATTTTCTGAGCGGAAAGCATGCGCTTTCCATCACGAGACAACGAATCCACGGTTCCTGAAGTAAGTTCTTGGACTGCTCCGCATTCTCTGGATTTTAACGCCATGGTGCCATTCATGGAGGCCAATGGGTCATTTCAAGGTAAAGGTGTTAGATGACAAGCAAAGAGGACAGCTTCACCTCCTTGAATGAGTTGACTGTGGGTTTTCAGCTCATCCTGTGGAGATACAGAGCAACAAATTACACACATTTAGACAAATTCAGTCACATGGCGGGTATCCAAAAGATCTCCAACTCGAATTTACGGGTTCTTTTACGGGTTCTTTTACCCGTAAAAAAGGGAACTTGGATGAGTAGGGTGAAAGAGCAGTTCCGTGAATAACCTTTTGCGAGCAGGATCCTATCTTAAAGACCATTTTGCGACTACTTTTGGTGCGGTGACCTAAAAATTATCTGCGTAAAATGTATTGCTCGATTCAGGTACATCTTTTAGTGCATGTTTCTCTCATTCCACGGTATGTAGTTTGCCCTAAATATTCATTTGGTGGGATGATTTTTTTGTTTGTTAGTGGTTTTTCTTCCTTATTCCTTAGCCTTTGTTGACAAGGTGTCCATCCCACTGCGCGAGAGAGCGGCAGCAAATTGGTAAAGAAATGGTAGGCAAATTGAGTGCCTACAGCCCGGGAGGAAAAGCTGCCAACAGTGTCGGGGTCCAGCTAGATCGAGTCCTTCTCTTACGCAAGCCTCTTCCTCCGCGAGCCTCTATCTTTAGAATTAGATTTGTTTCTGAATAGTGTATGTGTTCGAGGCTGCTGCACCTGCAAGCGATTCTCAGGAGACGCATGCACTGTCGCGTGCTCGGTGTTGCCCCTCATTCACTTGACAGCCCCCGGTACTGTTTCTGATTATTCTGTCCAAGCTGGATCGGTCCGCGAAGTCGGTGGCGACAGACTGTGTTAAATATATTATTCTTCGTTTGATTGATTGGTAGATATGGAGCAGGCCGAATGCCGCGACTGCAGGAAGTGGAGGCAGTGAGGTCGAGCTTTGCACATGTTTAGGTTGCTCAGACACGATGTGCGATGATCGAGGTTATGGACAAGTTGTGGTTAGGCCTGGTGTTGCAATCTCTATTGCTACTGAGTGTCGCATGGAGAGGTCGCGCCGCTGTAGATTCGTCGTTGATAGAAGAACAGTATTTGATGCACAAGGAGGATGAAGTGCGGCTTCTGGCTACTGACGCCCTTCGGCTAGCTCTTGACAGACAAGATTGCGGTCGTGCTCCTCCTTCTACTCTCAGAAACAGATTTAAAAAAAAAAAAATTCCTTGTCCTCATTCTATTGCAGCTCAATGCCACAACTAGGCAAAAGTAAATCTTTTTTTAAAGATATTAACTGCGGATATGATGATCGGCTACGTGAAATGAATCTTTGTATCTCGCAAAGAAGCGGGTGCGTGTGCCTACGCTAATGCGCTTGGCTGATAATGGAGCAGTCCAAAACTCAAGTTCTGATTTAGTTTCTTATGTGTGCCATGATTCAGGTCTGTCGCAGTGTGCACGCAGATGCTCCAGACATGCGTGTTCCCCAGTCACAACTGATAATTTGACCTGTGTTTCTGCTGTAACACCAATTCCGGATTGCGGTAACTCATGCGACAGGTATAAGCTAGATTTTGGAAGAAGGGATGGATTTGTAAGGTATGTGTGGTTACCGTCCATGGTAGAGTGCTCTTATATTTTGTTTAGATTACTTTAGTTTTGTTTGTTTATGTTAAGTATTTTAATTTTCAGCTTAGTTTATTTTTGTTTTTTTTGTTTTGTTTTTCTTTTTTCACTTTCGTTGGGTACATGTCAACATTGTAGAAGTGTGCTCATTTCTCCATAAACGTGAGTGTCCATCATGAGAGGCCGCCACATTTCTGACTAGTCCTTTGGGTATAGACTCCCTCCATTTTTCAGAGACTTTTCAAATCCAAATTTGTCTCCAGAGATCAAGAGATCCATCTGTGCTCACTCAAGCCTCCAATTTCCTGTTAGCAATGATGCTGAACGTCTGTTGCGGTATGTCTTCGGATCTGCAGAAGGCGTATCTAGAGCTTATCCAGGCCGAGTAAGCTTCTTCTGTTCTTGCAACTACTTAATTCTGGTTACCTTATAGAAGCTAGCACATGCATACTAGCCTCAAATGCTGAAGTATGTCTTATCCTCCGTTGATTCTGAGAGTGCAGGCAGCGAATCCAGATAAGGACTGCATCAATTTTGATCCTCGAAAACAACCCGGGTGAGCGTCCGACCTTTTTTTTGATCGAGTAGGTCAACCAATTAGAATGTTATGCTTTTATTATATTGTATTGAATCGTGATATCTCTTCTTGCAGATACATTTTATCAACATCCGTTGTAAAAGACTTAGTGGTTCTGCTCGATATCGGTCAGCAAAATGGTACAACTTTCATGCCAGCGAAGAATATTATCACTGAGCTATTTGACACTTTCGGTATTGGAGATTCTGTCAATGTAGTCACATTTGACTCCACGAACGCGACTCTACTGCAACCGTCTTCGGTACCTTCTTCCTATCTAATCACTTCACTCAATTAATGCAAAGCCCTAAATCTACAGTTCTAATTTTTCGATTGTTAGCGATTTATTTGTCCAGTGCGAAAGAATAAATCGACGTCAGTGCTTTCGTTACCCTTCACCTGTCCGCATTCATGACGCCTTCAATTTGCAGGTTTCAGTGGGAAGCAATGCAAACGTACATTCCGCATTTGATGTAGCCTCTTTGGTAAATAATCCCAACGGCTTCTCGAATCTCAGTCGGGGATTTGAGAAAGCAATGAGTACTTTCAACTCAGCAAGTAAACTTAAGGTTCCTCTTCAAACTTTGAGAGCTCCTTCATCATAGTGTCCTGTCGAAAAGACACGTGTAGATTATCTGCTCGTGTTTACCTGATAAATTGCATGTTCGACACGACCCTAAACCCTAACCACTCCGGATGTTTTTCTTTGATAGATCATGGTGGTAGTAACCGACGGCTACTTCTCTCAGGCAGTAAATTTCCACAACACTCCACCTCTTGAGCAAGCGGTATCGCTTCTGAACGCAGGGGGCGTGGTTGTGTTCTTTTTCAGCTTAGGTCCAGGTGATGGGGATAGCCCCCCTAATCCATTGATGGATCTTCGAAGATTCTCGTGTCGTCTGAATAGCTCTGTTACATATGTAAGCATTGAGTATGCGGTTCGAAATCCACTTTGGGCCATCCGCCCCTACTTTGATTATCAGGCTAAGTTGCGATTCAAGAAAAACCTCACATTCTGGACGAATGTTTATGAGGATGTGAATGGCCAGGGAAATGTGTCCACCGTGAGTTATCCTGGTACGTGATTTACCCTAGAAATAAGATAAATATGCTTATCTCTTATTGCACAGTCACTCAGCGATTTGTAGCCTTGCAAATTTTCTCTACGTTGTGTCCGCTTCCGCTCACATCACCGAAATTTGAGCATCTTGACTGGTATTCGTGTGCAGTATTTGAGAACGGAACCTTGTTTGGTGTAGCATCCATTGATGTACCAGTGAGTTCCACTGACCTGGACATCATCAAGAAAAAATACGTTGATCCAAATGTTCTTCCCATGAGATTGGCTTGTCAAATGCAACAGGCAAGGTCATTTTCCTGCAACTCTACGTAAATGTGATCATACCTGTTGGTTTTGCGAGTCTTGTGATTTACCTTGACATACTGCACCCTTTGCGAGTGCAAAGCAGTTTCAATGAGCAGGAATCTGAATTCAAATCTGCTGAAGGGATGCCAATTATGTTTTGAACCTAAGATCTAAGATGTCTAAAAACCATAGTTAACCTCTCTAGTTTTGTCTTAAGCTATCCACAGGGGCATTTCACTTAGCAGTTTGTTCCCAGAGCATGGAATTTGAAACACAATACTTACAGGAGTTTGTCCATCAGGTCAAGCTCAACCAGTGCACCAAGCTTTTGGATCCAGCGACACGATCTCTTTGTGCACAGAGCTCGTACATTGGTGAGTCTCCTGCGTCAACGTATAAGAAGACATTATGCTGCGATTCTTGTGGTGCTTTCGCAAACAAGGATGGAAAGGCCAAACAGTTGCGGTTATATCTGGGCTTGGGAGCAGCGGGGACGTTTCTCATTGTTCTTGTCTACGTGGTGGCGATCCTTGTATGCAAATATGTGGTTGCCCAATCACCAGTGAAAAAGATGAAAGAAGGTCATTTGATGAACACCTTGATTTATATATGTTCCTCATCTATCTTTTTGATTAGTAGTTGCTGAATTATGTGAAATGTAATTGTTGTTATATTTATTGCCTCACGCTTATTAGTTTTAAGCTTTTTATAATACTACTTGGACAGATTTCGCGAAAGCATCCGTATCAACCTGTTTGTACACGTACAAAGAACTCAAACGCGCAACTCGCAATTTTCGTGAAGACAAAAAGCTTGGAGAGGGCGGGCTTGGAGAAGTTTATCTGGTAAGGGTTGTCAACAAAAAATCAAACCGAAGTTTGAGAAAAGCACATTTTTGAATGGAGCATGTTTAGACAATTCAGACGTGTTTATATTTTTGTTGATTGCACAGGGAAGACTCAAAGACGGTCTACAAGTTGCGGTGAAGAGACTTGCTCCTAATCATTCGAAAGAGGGGAAGCGTGAGTTCCTTGCAGACGTCATCAATATTAGTAAGGCACAGCACAGGAACCTTGTGAAGTTACGGGGCTTCTGTGTGGAGAGAAGCCATAGGCTCCTGGTCTACGAGTATCTGGAGAAGAGAAGCCTTCGTCAAACCCTGCTTGGTAATCTTCGATTGCGTAGGTTTGATCTTATGAAAGATTAAACGAATATGGTTTATCGTATAAGTTATTCGAAACTCTAATAGCTAAATATATTATTGTTGTCAATACGCAGGTAAACTATCTGATTCTGAACACATCGATTGGCCAACGCGCTTCAAAATTGCCACCGGTACTGCTCGAGGCTTGCAATATCTGCACAACGAATTCAAACCGCAGATTTTACACGGAGACATAAAAGCCAGCAACATTCTGCTAGATTCAAACCTTGATGCCAAGATAGCTGATTTTGGACTGGTCAAGCTGTGTCCTGATGATAAGACTAATTTCACGAAAAATCTTGCTGGCACTATGTAAGTACTGTACGATGCCTGAAAACAAAATTGCGATACGGATATGATATCTTCTTAGGCTTTGGCAGTTACGTGTCTTGTGTTGGAGAATTAATTTGCATTTGAGTTGTAATATCAATCATAAATTGCAGCTCAAGTTGTACTTTGGGACTCAAAGTCATGTGGTGTCTTGTTTTAAGGGGTTACATGGCGCCGGAATATATCATGCGTGGTCAGCTTACTGAAAAGGTGGACGTATTCAGCTTTGGTGTTCTTTTAATGGAAATTGTGACCGGCAAGCTTACCACAAGTCGCAGTCGCTCTGGAACTATGTTTTTCCTCTTGGACGAGGTAAGCATCCCCATTCAGCCTTATTTGAATATGTATAACTGCAATGTTGTTATCAGCACCATTGTTTCAATCTAGCCATTAGTCTATATTTTGAAAATATAATTGTAATTAAACTGCGACTTTGTCAGTTCACACCAATAGCTCGTATTACTTTCGCAGGTAAGGAATGCATACATTAAAGCTCTTGAGACAAGCAACGAAGAGCACCTGTTGCGCCTCGTGGATGCTAGACTGGTTGGCAAATATGACAGAGACGAGGTTCTCAGGGTATTGAAGGTTGCACTCTTGTCCACAATGGACAGCCCGACAACTAGGGCATCAATCTCAGAAGTGATTCTTATGCTCGTTGGGAGCCAGGAAATTCCTGAGCACATACAAGAAGTCGGAACGAGAGGTGACCATTCCCGAAGCACGTCAGTGCAATCCTCTCCAGATTTATCCTGTTTGCAGTGGTGGGAGGATGATTTGTCAGATCCCCCTCTTCTTGTAGAACGTCCACCTGAACGAGCAGGACCTGTATCAGCACCAGTGGTTTAAATCATCTGGGAACGTGAGCAGCTGTTGTCACTCTGCAGAGGTAGCCAATCTTAAGCAAGCTCTCAGAATTATACCATGCAGACAACATTGCTGTACTCTATTGCCCTTCAGGATTCATTGTAGTGATAGTATTCTGCAGGTTTAGATGCTTAGATAGGACTCCTATTCAAAACCCACTATTTGCCCTTAAAAACTGCATTCATAGGGTGGCTCAATAGATGGTAGGCACAATGCCTGTCTACAAATCTGTACAGTAAGTTTACAGAACGTTGTGAACATTTACCCTTTGAAGGTTAGTTTGTCAGTTCAGCAGTTGCCATTCTGTAAGTTTGGAGATAAAATCTCGTTGTAACAGCACTGTCTGAGAGTAATTTGTTGGTGCGTTGTCATGCTTGCATACAGGACGGATTTTATCAAAATTGTGCAAGTGATGCGATGATTGTTGGTACAAGTCTACAGGTCAAGACCACCATCTACGTACCATCTTACTAAAAGATGAGCAGAGGTTGTCATGTACCAATCTAATCACAACCAATCGTTATCAACGTATTCAAGCTCAGGAGGAATGTTTGTTTGCCGGACAACCAGGATTATGCCCCTCAGTTCTTGGTGTTCCTTTAAAATTCCTTAGACCTAGATTCCCCAGGGTCATCTAATCCCTGTCACTTTCCAGACATGTCATTCGATATTTCTCCAATATTCTGCGCGAGGGTAGCCAGCAACGGAAAATGTACTAGAGCCCACAAGTCTTCGAGTGGACCATCCTTTCATTGCTCTTATTAAACACAACCTCCCCCCCCTCTTAACCCGGTCTGTGCTCCGCCCAAAACAGGTCTTGTCTGTAATCGACGATGGCGAGTACCCAACTGATTCGTGGAGATACAACCACAACGAAATCACCATGGGGTCGTGGAGTACACTCTAGTATCAACTCCAACTTGAATCTCAGAACCAGGTTCAGCGCGAGTGGTATAGCTCGACAAGGGAACAATTCCTTGAGTGTTGCCGATTGGGAGAACGCTTGACAATATGGCTCTTGGAATTTATCTCATTGAAAGAGCTTCTGTCCAGCAGAGCGAAACGGAAGGAGCAGTCTCTTCTTCATTCGAGTGACTGTGGTTGCGTTACCCGAGTGTCAAGCACACTTCAATCACGGTCAGATAGCTGTAGTGACAGACAGAAATCTGTCGTCGGGTTTTCAAAGCCAGAATCATTCACTCAGAATTGAGGTCTAGCCTCCTTGCAGGCTTGGAGTAAGACTGGTGACGTTGTTCCAGTGTATCCGCCAATTGCTACGTCAACGAAGCGGGTGATTGATAGAGATGGAGCAGCAGAAAGGATTCAAGTCTCCGGCCAACGTGAACGGTTGGGGCTCTCGCCTCGTTGGACATGAATGACACCTTCAAATTACCAGCAGTGCTATTGAAAACTGGTGGTACAATCGTGCTCTAGTTACTGCAGGAAATAAATTGCGAGGTAACGATGGGTCCTTGTGGATGGTGTGGCTTGTGAGATAAAAGTTGGAGTTTTGGGTTGCAATTTGGCCTTCGGCAGGAACACAATCTCTACCCAGCCAACACAGACTGTGTGCAGGAAAGGAGAAATGGAAGAGTGTAGACTTGAGTGTTGGTGGCTGAAATTGCTTGAGCTGCAGAAACTGGGTAGCAAGGCAAACTCTGGCTATACTGTTTCTCAAGTGCCCAGCTTTTGCTGTCATGTGTAATTGGAGTGAAAAAAGTAGCACCACTAGTCACCATACTCCACGGTCATTAAGGTAGAAGAAGCCAAAAAATTAAAATGAACTGAAATAAAGCATTGCCTACCTGTTATTACACATTTTGCTACAGTAGCTAACATATGGTCATCCAAAAGTGGTGCACAATAGATTTTATCAAACTCACATATGTGCAAATTTAGTTTAAACAAATATTAGCATAGAAATTGATATATATATATATATATATATATATATATATATATATTATTGTTTTTTTATTGACCTTTGTATTATATACACCTATACTTGAAGTTTGTTAAGTCAATATTATGGTCATATGTTTACATAGAGGTTATTTGTAAGAAATATAAATTATTTCCAAACATTTGTTTGGATATTTAAAAGTAGAAATCTATAAATTAATATAATTTTAAAAAGAAATAAATATATCATTTGTAAGTGTATTGGAAAATTAAGTAATAATTCTAGAAGCATACTTAGATTCATATAAAATTTAAAAATCTAGGAATAATAATAATTTAAAGTATAATATAAGGTAAATAAAAAATGATTAAAATGCTATAAAACTATAAAGTTGAGAAAAAAAATTACATAAAATATTAGAAATTACAAAATCAAAAAATAAATACTAGCCATTTTATTTCAAATAATAAATAAAATAAAAAATAAGTTGTTATTATGTGGCTAGCTAAAAATATTATCTCTATTTTAACAATTATTTTTTATATTTTAGTTTTCCTTAGAATAATCTATAATAAAAAAATATTATATAATCACATGTATAACTAATAAGCAAGTTCTTTCTTACATGTGCCTTGGTTGGATGAAGATGGTCAAAAAATTGTTGGAAGATAAGTATCTTTGTGAAAAAAACATTATTCTAAAGCTTTTAATATTTGAAAGCAAAATATATTTTTTTGCAATTTTTTTCAACTTCTTGCTAATGAGTTTTAATTTTCTAATAAGTTTATTTTTATTCTTCTATTTGTTCATAAATATTAAATTTGGCATTAATATAAAAAATTATAAAAAAAGAAATAAATTCTAATAAAATATTATAGGCTTATATTTATTTCTTATATTGATGCCCAATTAGTATTATGATAATTCTTCTTCTTCATCCATCAATGGATTTCAAAAAATTTAAACAAATATTCAATGTATATGCTTATGCCTTCTTTCTAAGATTGGAACTTAGGACCAAAGAAAGCATAGGCTAAAGAAGGTGTTGCCGAAGGAATGTCATGAACATATATAATTACTTAAATAAGAAATATTAAGTAAAAGATTAGCTTCTTAGAAGCTTTATAGATACGGATTTGAATTTATACATGTTTGTAGTTGATTGATAGGTTCATAATTTGACCATGTATTGCACATATTGGTAATTTGTGATGCAAGTTCGCTATGTGGCACACATACAAGAAATTTGTCTTTTAAATTAGAGATATGTTGTTTAAGTTGAATAGGTATTGAAGGTCTTATAGAATGTTTCCATATAGCTTCTATTTAGATAGTATAAATAGATGCAAGAATGAAGCCTTATTTATTCTTGGTAATATCTCTCTTGTTTTTAGTCTTGTTTCAAGAGTCTTTAGTCTTGTTTCAAGAGTCTTTAGTCTTTTTGTCTTTAGCAATAGCCATTCTAGTATAAATATAAAATTATGTTCAAATGAATATCTTTTTTTTTATTATTATTCATACAAAATATATTGATTATTTTATTTTTTATGATTTATGTATCATAAACATACATATTTCCTCATATAATTATCTAAATAATAATAATAAGTAAAGGTAAATATAAATAAATAAATTTAATAATATCTGATAAAAAAAAGCTTTTTATAAGCTTCATAGATGCAACTTTTCCTTTATATGTGTTTATAGGTGATTGGTAGATTAAAAATTAGTTACTTATAATATAAGTTGGATATAAGAAGCTTATGCTGTAAATTTGACATGTGTTGTGAGTTAGATATGTAGTGGAGGTTCTATAGAATATTCTCAAGTAACTTCTAGTTAGATAGTATATATAGAAGCAAGAGTAAGACCTTTTTTTGATGTTGTCAACTTATTTTTTCTTCTAATTTAATTTCAAGAGTCTTTAGTCATTTTAATCTTTAAAAATAGCAATTCTAATTTATTCTTGAATATATATTTTTTATTTCTATTTTTATCTTCTTTTAATATACATCTTACTTATTTATATATCTCCTTTAAAGTTCTTATCTTCAAGTATTGGCTAACATATACTTATATTATTAAAACTTTGTCTTTTTTCATTAAAAGCAAATTATCTCTTTTTCTTGATAAGACATATGCATATTAGAAGTTGTGGATTATCCACTTTTAAATTGATATTTCTCTTAGAATTTCTTTTGTTCTTAAGTCCTTTCTTCTAATTATCTAAAGTGATATTAGACTTTCTTTTTTTTTGTGTTATTATGGCCAAGCTTATTAAAATAAAGACTACAATGGTACAAAAGTAAGATCAAATGAAAGAGTTAATGCTTGTGATGCATCAACTCAATTTACCACCACAAAGAGCTATAAGATTGGCAAAAAATGAAGATATTGAAATAATTAGAGTTACTTCAATATCTATATCAAATCATATTAGTTCTCGTATGGAGAAACATTTTTTAAGTATTAGAGAACCAAGAGTTGTCTAACTTGAGAAATTTGATGTCAAAAGATTAAAATTTCAAAGATTTATCAATCAAGTTCAAATGGTGATTGAACTTTAATTTCAAAGCTATCCAATTTAAGGATCACAAATCAAATCTATTGTAATACTATTTTCATATTTTGTTCTATCAAGGTTTTTATCTTTTTATTGAATGATGTGATCCAATATTAGATATTTTTGAGGTTTTTTCTAATAAAGTTTCAATCCATGTATCAGGAATATAATGTAATTTGTATTGCAACCTATAAGATTTATATTTTGCAACAAAAAAATTAATCAATAATATTATATGCTTTATAATTTTGACAACTCATAACTAATATCAAGTAAAATGATGCTACTTTCATTAGCCAATTTTTCTATGGATTATAATGTGAGATAAAACAATTGATGATGAACTTACTTGATCCTCAAACATTCAGTTAAGTAATTCAATTTATTATGAAATGTGACAATTGGCTTTTTGAATTTTAATTTGAAAATTATAGAAGTAAGCTTCTATATTTTTATAATTTAATAAAAATTCAAACATCTTATTAATACATTCAATCAAAAGTAAATTACATGAAAATTGATAGAATATATTTTAAATTTCTTTTTAATCAAAAAAAACTTATTATTATCAATGAAGATTGTGCTTATATTATAAAAAATCTAAGCACACTACTCAACATTTTCCAAAGAAGCAATACAATTATAGAAGAATGATTATGGCTATCAAAAAAGACTATATTTTAAAAAATAAATTTGTTCAAGTATAATAAGAATATATATCTAAAATCTTATATAATATTCCATAAAAATCTTATTTTCTCTTCAAAACATTCTTTACATTTTATAATAGATACTTATTTAGGATCTAAAAATTACAAAGCCTCTACCTTGCTAAATTTAAGAGCCTTAGCTAATTTCTTAAATAAAGTATTTATGAAAAGATATAACATACTCCCAGTAAAGAAAGTTAAAAACTTGTACATGTAGAACTTATAGGTGGTTGTCTATTATCTTCTAAAGATGTTATTCATAAAATCCTTCTTATAGAAGTAATATCAAATAGTCATAATAGCTTTATGATATTCAATATAATTAGATCTTTTTTAAATCTAATCATCTTAGGTTTATTGTAGCTAAAAAATAATATCACTTAAATCGAATAAATTTCTTATAGTCTTGACTTTATTTAAAGTAGAAACAAGAATTTAATTAATTAAGTCAAAAGTTATAAGTCAAATGCAATCAAATCCTTATTTGTAGGTACAAAAGCTTTTATATATGTTGCAAAAAAAATAGCTATCTTTAATTATTTATGCCACATCTATTTTTAATGATAAAAAAACTTCAAATAACATTCTAAACTAATATTTAGTTTTATGAAGATATTTTTTAGAAGAAGAATGCAAATATTCTTCTAGAGCATTATACATGTAATTGCTTAATTAACCTCCAAAAAAGATATTAATTAGCATTTGGACCAATCTATAGTTTATCACAAAATGAGTTAACTGAACTCCAAAAATATATTGATGAGAATTTGGCCAAGAATTTTATATGCCATTTAAAATCTTTAACAAGAGATTTTTTTTTTCTTTTTGAAAAAAAAAGACAGATTATTATAGATGTATATGGATTATTAAAGGCTCAATAAGATTGTTATAAAAAATATTTATCTTTTATATTTAATTTTAAGAATTTTTAATCAAATGAATTAAGCCAAGATTTATATTTTAAAAATAGAAAAATAAAAAAATAAAAAAATAAAATTTAGAAGAGAATATAATTTAGTATACATCAAAATAAAAGATGAATAAAAGACCATATTTTAATTAGGTATGGATATTTTGAAAATAATATCATGCCTTTTGAACTTATAAATGTACTAGTTACTTTTTAATATCTAATAAATAATATCTTTGAAGAATTTTTGGATGATTTTTTTGTTTATTATTTTAGATAATATTTTAATCTATTCTAAAAACATTGAACAGCATGAATTTCATATTTATCATGTATTAAAAAAACTTAGAGATGCAAGATTCTATGTCAAGATAAAAAATAAAAAATAAATATATATTTTACGCTATTCAAGTTGATTTTTTATAAAACATCATTTCAAATTATTATCTTATAATAGATCCTTCAAAAATTCAAAATTTCATAAATTAAAAGATTTCAAAAATAATAAGAAATATAAAATATTTTTTGTGATTTATCAATTATTATTAGATCTTCATAAATAATTCTTTTAATGTTGTAGCTCTATTTATATGTTAGACTTGTAAAGACAAGTTTAAATAGAGTAAAGAAGTAAAAGCATCATTTGAAGTCTTAAAGACAACTTTTATTTCTACACCAATCTTATATTATGTTAACTTTTGTAAGGCATTAATTATTGAATCAAATGCAT